AGAAAGCACTTCCAATGGGCCATGATCACACCATAACCCATTTTCCTCCATCTCTCACCATCCTGTCAGGATTTGGGGTACACACATCTACCATGTTTTTCAAGCCACCAGGGGTAGAAGTCCAACTGTGGTCAGTCACATGAGATTCAGCTTTCTATTCACAGTGCTTAGTCACTACACATAGGACAAGGCCAAACAGTAACATTTTTAAAGAAATTCCTTTTTCCCATTTCCTGTGCCATTGGGACATCTAATCCTGATGGCCTTGTTGAACAAAGAGCCATCTGCAGCTGGGAGATCTGCTACAGAGCATGAGTTATCCCCTCCCCCCACATGCTTTGAACTCTCAGGAGTGTTAATTGGGACTTGGAGAAGCCCATCTTCCCTCTCCCCTCCCTCCCCTACCCCTTCTCCCCACACCATCAGGACATCTATCTGCCCCAGTGATGGGCCTGGCTGCACTGAGTGGCAGGAACAATGAGATGCAGAGAGACTATGGTTCATCCCCTACCACATGCCTCTGAATTCTCAGACTTGAGTATTTCCTGAAGGATGCAGTACAATACCCAGCACCTTCTCTCTTTCTCAATTGAAGCTCAGCAGCTCAGCCTCAGGTGCACCTATTCTCTAGAAACTGGGAGGACATTGAATTAACCAAGTTCAGAGACAGCAGTGCAGGTTGCTGGGTGAGCATCAGGGAGGCAGAGCATCAGAGAGATTGCCAATTACTACCTGCCTCTGCTTGATTTTGAACACTCAATTAACTTGAAGAATTTATGAAGAAATGTATAATTCACTTGATGACTAGAAACCATCACAAAGGCACAAGAAATATGAGAAATCAAAAAAATATCACTCCCCCGGGACCAGCAGTTAGTGTAATGGCTATGTTGCTGGATTACTATGTAGTCGACTGTGGTTCACATCCTGGACCCAGTGGCTTAAACTCATGCTGGGCGCGTGTGCACATGTGCCCAAGATCCTGAGAGGAGAATGGAGAAGAAGGGATTGTGGCGTGGCCATCCCCCTGGGGGGTGATTTCTTGCTTTCTGTCTCTCTGTCTCTCTCTGTCTTTCTGGAGAGTACACGCACCCTACAACAACAACAAAAAAAAAAAAGAAAGAAAAAGAAAATATGACTCCTCCAAAGAAAAACATCAATTCCTCATCCTCCACAGACGATACTATGGAACTCATGGAAATGTCAAATAAATTATTCAAAATATGTATAGTGACAAAACCAAATGAGATAC